AAAATTTATTTAGTTTTGGTTTTTACTTTTGTCTTAAAGTTGATTTTGATTTTAAAAGTCTTCATTGGCTGGCCAGTTGGTATGGTGGTTAGGTGGCAGGATCCCACATGATTAGCTGTGCAGTTTGAGTCTGGACCTAGCGGCTTGAAAAACATGTGCGGCATGCGTGCATACTTGCCCAAAATCCCAAAAGGAAGGAGAAATGAAGTAGAAGGGAATGTGGCATGACCATTCGCTATGAGGGGGCTGACACCCCCATCTCTCTCCAGCAAGTGCATGTGTTCTCTGGCAGATTTAAAATACTGTTTTTCATTGTCACCAGTCATTCCCTATTGATGCATACCAATGGTCATTATTTGTGTTTTAGTCTTTTTATCTTCTCTTGGGCTCCCAGTTACTGTAAAGGCTCTTTTTTATTATTTTATTTGTAGTTATTATTTTTTACTTTGCTATAGGGCACATGGCCTCACGAGGAAGAGAGCGAGCGAGCGAGCCAGCTACCAGGTCCGGGACTTGAACCATGGTCAGCCATGTGGGAGTCTAGCACCTTAACCACCACACCACCTGATGGCCCCTGTAAAAGCTCTTAAGAAGAACCTTTTTGGGACCAGCAGTTAGTGTAATGGCTATGTCACTGGACTCCCACATAGTTGACCGCGGTTCGGGTCCCGGACCTGGTGGCTTACCTCACACCGGGTGCGTGTGCGTGCGTGCCCAGGATCCCAAGAGGAGAATGGAGGATTGTGCGTGGCCAACCCCCCCCCCCAGGGGGTGATTTCTCGCTTTCTGTCTCTCTGTCTGTCTCTGTCTCTCTGGCGAGCGCATGTGCCCTATAGCAAAAACCTCTCCAAAAAAAGAAAAAAAAAAGAGAAGAACCGTTTTCTTAGGAGTTATATTGTCTGCCAAGACAATCAGTCTACCTTCCAGCGGCCACAGCCAAGGCATGGCCTACTATCTGTGTGGTGTTAAAACATCTTCCCCATTTCTTTGTGATTTATCCCCTTCGACTTAGCTTACCAAAGCCATCTGGGTGTCCATCCGTCAACTGCTTTATGTGCTTGTCCAGAATTGAGCAACACTGTGCTGGTAGGCAAAAATAAAGGGAAGTAGAAAATTGCCTCAGATGACCCAGATCAGACGATGGGAAGTAAAAACTAGGTTAAAGGTAAATGAGTGGAAGGCCAGATAGGAATTAATACAAACAACACAAACCCTATAGTAGTACTTTAAATGATCACTATAGTTCCCAAAGAACTCAGAAAAAGGAAAACTGACATATATCTGGTATTAACTGTGGGGAAAGAATTATTGAGTACTCAGTTTATTTTATTTTTATTTATCTTTTTTTGAGAGATTTTTGCTACAGGGTGTGTGTGCTCACCAGAAAGAGACAGAGACAGAGAGAAAGCGTGAAATCCCCCCTCCCCCCAGGGGAGAATGGCTATGCCACAATCCCTTTTTTTTCATTCTCCTCTTGGAATTTTGGGCATGCACACATACATGCCCGGTGTGAGTTTTAAGCCACCAGGTTCAGGACTGAAAGTGCAGTCGACTATGTGGAGTCCATTGACATAACCATTCCACCATCTGCTGGTCCCAGAGTACTCAGTGTATTAGTTTAATAGCCATTTGCATCATACATCACATCATTGAAGATCAAAGTCGACTAAGACAGTGGTCACAACCCCTGAATGCATGTATTAAATTATTCAGTGCTAGCACAAATACAGAGACAATCACAGACCATTCTTTAAGGTATAGAGGAAAGAGACTAGTTTAATAGAAATTGGAGAGATGGGAGAAGTCGGAAGAATTTTTGAGATGAATCTTGAAGGAGCAATGTTGGCTATACTGTAACATTGGAGGTCTGCCTGTAGGCAGCATTTCTCATAGCAGGCACAGCATGAGCCAGGCTTAAGAGTTGTGATTCAATACTGGGTGTCTGAGGAGCCATCAACTCCTGGCAGTTTTCTTAATAAATATCTGTTGAATAAACATACACTATTCCCACTGAGAGAAGATACTATATAAGTCTAAACAATCCACCAGTAAAGAGCCTCTGTTCTCCTTGGGGAGAGATAAAACATATACCTGTATAATTAAACATAAGGTGCTGCAGGATTAGGTGCCAAGTGATGGTAGAATAAATATGATGGGATTTCTGAGGAGGAGGAATGATCTAGTCTGCTGAGCTTAGGAAAGGCTGTTCTGAGGGGCCGGCAGGTGGCGTGGTGGTTAAGGCACTGGATTCTCACCACAGTTTGAGTCCTGGACCTGGTGGCTTGAAAATCACGCTGGATGCAAAATGCTGAGAGGAGAATGGAGAAGGGATTGTGGCGTGGTCATACTCCTGGGGGTAATTTCTCACTTTCCCTCTCCCTGTCTCTCTCTTTCCAGCAAGCACATGTGCCCTTGGCAAAATCTTTAGGAAAAAAAAAAAGGCTGTCCTGAGTAGATGACTTAGCTGGCTCTTACTTGGTGGATTTCATTCAGTGAAGTAGAGTGGAGTGGAGAGGAGGCACATACGAGTGAAGTCATAAGACTTGTTCAGGCATGGTAAAGAGGTGTATGTGTTGTATTTATTTTTTATTTACTCTGTCACTATCAACAGTGGCTATTTCCCACATGAACCTCTTCTAAAGTTTCCTTCATTATCCATATTTATTCTGTTCTTGAGTTGAAATAAGTTCAGATACAAAGGCTACTTATTTGCCTGAGTCTACTGTATTTAGTTCTTGAGTTCCTGAGAGCAAGCCTCAAAGCTTCAGATAATAGCAGATCTATCCAAGAGTTATCCGAATATATTCCTTTTCTGTGTTTAGATAGCAAGAGTTTGGACAGGGGAGGATCACTGCATTGGTATTTCTCCCTGTGTGAATAGCTGATTCAGCTATGTTGCCTTGAGGGATGTGAAGGTTGCACCTTTATTCTTGTCAGTAGGTTGCCAGACTTCGAAAGTGTTTGAAAGTTGGACACTTGCTATGTGACTAGTAAATCATATTTATCACATAAAAAGAATGTGTTGATGCTGGGTGCACCTGTGGGTGCACTGTGAACCTGGCTAACTAGAAGGCTGTGCAGAGGGTTATGGGATGGCAAGGCCCTGTCTTCAGGGGTCTTGTTATGTCTCTCTGTCTTGGGAAAGATATACTGGGGGAACCAGCAGGTGGCATTATGACTATGTCACTGGACTCCCACGTAGTCATCTGCAATTAGAGTCCCAGACCCGGTCGCGTGTGTATGTGTGTGCCAAAGATCCCGAGAGGAGAATGGAGGAGAAGGGATTGTGGTGTGGCCATCCCTCCTGGGGGGTGATTTCTCGCTTTCTGTCTCTCTCTTGTGTTTCTGGCAAGCGCACACGCCCTATAGCAAAAACCTCTCCCCCCAAAAAAGAAATACTGGGTTGTCGGGAAAGTCATGATGTGTTTTTCTATGCAAAAATGCATCATGACTTTTCCAATGACCCAATAAATAAAAGAGTCTGTTGAAGTACATAAACAAAAAGAAAGGAATAAAAGTTTGAAAAGCATTTGATTCTTCAGATGTACTAGTTTTATATAAGACTTTTTTTTATGAGCGATTTATGGAATTGTTTCCCGGTCTGATTCTATTATAGACAGCTATGAATATCTCCAAAATGCACCTCCTGGATTTTTTCCAAGACTTGGTGTTATTGGTTTTGCTGGCCTTGTTGGACTCCTTTTGGCTAGAGGTAGGGGCAATTTTTTGTTTTTTTTTTTTAACTGGCCTTGTTGGACTCCTTTTGGCTAGAGGTAGGTGCAATTCTATGTTTTTTGTTTTAAACAGTTCATATGGGAGAGAGACGATATTGTCTGGTCCTTCATGTACCAGTTTTCACAATAATGAATTGCTTCCTGAGTGTAGCCTTTATAACATGTAATTGAAAAGCTGTTTATTACAGATTATTTTATTTTAAGCATTTTTAGAAATTATATACTCTTGGTAAAAAGAAATTAGTAATCCTTTATAGGCTCATTTACTTGGTCAAACCTCTATTGCTCTTTGGTAAAGAAAGAGTGAAATTTGTTTAGTCTTTCACACTCAAGCAATAATCTGTTTCTAATTGTTTCACTATTAAGATCGGGCTATTAGGGCCTGCTCCATTGCACAGCGGTAATGTGCTGCTCAGGGGAAGCTGGATCCCACATGGCAGCTGCAGTTTGAACTCCCAGCCCAGTCTGCCTGAAACATGCTGGACACATGCATGAGTGTCCAAGATCTGATGAGCTGGAGGACTGGAGAGAGGATTGTGGTGTGACCAGACGCATGGAGGATGCTGCTTTCTCTTTTTCACTTACTCTCACATATGTGTGCACGTGCTATACCATCAATAAATACAAATAAATATATGGATCAGACTATTATAGTAGATAGAATAGTGATTTAATGAAGATTGTATTAACTCTTGATGCATTATTGCTTCAGTCAGTGATGTAAGAAGTTTAAATATGTTTACAGTTTTGTTTTTGTTTTGAAATTGCCGGAGGGTATGTGGGCTCATCAGAGAAAAACAGAGAGAGAGAGAGAGGACAAAAGCAACCTCCAGTGGGGTGTTGTCATGACACAGTTTCTTTTCCTCCATTTCTCCATCCTGTCAAGATTTGGGGTGTGTGTGCCCTTGCCTGGTGTGTTTTTCAAGCCTCTGGGGACGAGATTCAAATCACAGTCAGCCACGTAGGATCTCATTCCCTTCTTTTTTTTTTTTTTGGCTTTTGGGCATGTGTGCTTGCTGGAGAGACACAGAGAGACAAAGACCGAGAGAAAGTGAGAAATCACCCACCAGGGGGATGGCCACACTGCACTCCATTCTCCTTCATTCTCTTGAGATTTCGGGTACACACACACACATGCACTTGGCGTGTTTCTCAAGCTACTGGAGTCAGGACTTGGGCTGCTAAGTCAGCCAAATGGGATCCAGCTACTTTAACTACCATGCCACAGACTGGCCCAGGATCTCCTCTTTAATCACTAGGCTATGGTACTGGCCCACGTACTTAAAATTAGAAGCTAGTGGAGACCAGCAGATGCCGTAATGGTTACATTGCTAGACTCACACATGGCCGACTATGGTTCAAGTCCCAGACCCGGAGGCTTGAAGCTCACGCTGGGTGCATGTATGTGTGCACCCAAGATCCCAAGAAGAGAATGGAGGAGAAGGGATTATGGCATGCCATCCCCCCGGGGGGTTATTTCTCGCTTTCTTTTTTAAAAGGAATTATTTTATTTAACTTCATTTATTTATTTTTATTTTTTAATTTGACCAGAGAGGGACAGAGAAAGACAGAGAGAGAAAGTGAGAAAACAAGCTGCCAGGTCCAGGACTCCCACGTGGTTGGCCATGTGGGAGTCCAGCACCCTTAACCACTACGCCTGCCACCTGCCGGCCCCTGATTTCTTGCTTTCTAGCTCTCTGTCTCCTCTGTCTGTCTGGCAAAAACACACACCCTGTAGGACAATCCTCTCCTAAATAAAAAAAGAAGCTAATGAATGTCTACCTTAAAATACCACTACCCTACACTGCTAGATTGCAAAATATTTATAGGAAATAAAGGATCATAAAATACTTCACTATGATTAAATTAATTTATTAGGGATCATTTGAAGTTGCATTGATTTAAAATAAATAATGTATAAAGTTGAAATGATACAAAAATTTCTTACAGAGAATGTTTATGAATCCCATAATCAGGCCACAATAAAAAAAAGGGAATGATAGAGACTTGTTTAGGGCTAGCCTGTGGCCTATTGGTTAAGGGGTCACTCAATCCCACATAGTCTATTGCAATTTAAATCCTGGACCCTGAAGCCTGAAAAACCATGCTGGGTGCTTATGCATGCATGCCCAAAATCCTGACAGGATGGAGAAATGGATAAGTAGGGATCATGGCATGACTATACCTCATTGGGGGGTGCTTTCTCCCTTTCTCCCTCTCTCTCTGTCTCTCTCTGATGAGTGCATATGCCCTTGGCAGTTAAAAAAAGGAGAGACTAATACCATTCCTCCAATTTAAAAAAATTTCTCTACATGCATCTCTTGGGTCATTATTATGTTGCCAAACAGAAATACCTGAGACTGAGTGGCTTAAAAATAATAGAGATTTATTTGGCTTATGATTCTGATGACTGGAATGTCCAAGAGCATGACGTTGGCATCTGGTTGGCCTCTAGTCAGCCTCTGCTCTTACATCACAACATGACCAACAGAAGTAGCGTGTGCAAAGAGAGAGAGACCTGTGGGCAGCCACCTTCCTGTTCTCTCAGGAAATAACCCTTCTTGTGAGAGGGAGAACTCACTTCCTCTGGTGTGAAAACATTAACCCGTTCATGAGGGTGGTTCCCCCATGCTCCAGACACCACTCTCTAGGCCTCACCTCTTAAAGTCCTCACCACCTCCCGGTACCATTGCATTGGGGACCAAGGTTCCAGCACAGGAACCTTTGGGGACAAGCCACACCTGGGCCATAGCAAATCATTAACTGTGATTTTGGAATTCGGAGTATCAACCCAGGGGCCACTCCCACGTCATCTGTGTAATGAACTCAACGTCAGTCTCTGTGCCATCCTCTCGTCTTGTGCAGAATATATAAGAATTCAATTTCTAGTCCATTTTATTTGCAAAGCAACTTTTATTTGCAAAGTTTCTTCCCAAACTTTTCTCCCCTACTTCCCTGCAGAGCTGTTCAGAATAGCATTCCAGTCTTATTTTGTGTTTGGGATTAATGAACATCTCAAGGCTAAGGGTTGGAATTTTGGCTATTGTCAGGGAGCCAGGAATGTGGGGTCAAGTGAGATGAGCTCCCTCACCTTCTCTGTAGTTAGAAAACTCTGTGCTGTGGGTACCTTCCCACACTGTTGAGTATTTGTCCCTCACACAGTTACTAGGGTGACCGTCCTGAGGAGGACTGGGGACCACACCAGCACGAGGACACCTACTGCCATGGGTCCTAATCCTCTGTATATGTGTTTGTTTCAGCCTGTCTTTTTCCTTTCCTGGAAGGTTTCATTAGTAGTATGAAAATAATTTGAAACCAGGCCAGCAGGTGGCATGGTAGTAAAGGCACTGGACACTCCTACATGGCTGACCATGGTTTAAGTTCTGAACCTGGTGACTTGCTTTCTCACTCCCATCCCCCCCGTGTCTCTCTTTGGTCAAATGAAAATAAATGACAAATACATAAAATTAAATAAACAATTCTTTTTAAAAGTAATAATTTGAAACCTTAATTCTTTTCCAAAAGCCTACCCAAGTATTTGCACACACACGTGCGCACATAGTAACACAGGTCTTTTCCCATGGGTGCCTGGTGTAGAAGGCTGAGAAGCAGCTGCAGAGGGTTTACCAAGCAAGGTGAATGTAAGGGCAGCTGTGGTTGTGGTGGCCAGAGTGGTTCACAGCCCCCCAGGTACATGGTCCCCCGTGCTGGCACCAGCAGGATGGGATGGGCTCAGAAGGTTTCTCCCAGTACGTGTCTTGAACATATCTACTAAGGTCACCTGTCTTGGTTGATGAGGATGGCCATAATGATGGGGATGAAAAGAGACTCCCAGTGGCTGGTCATTCAGAAGAAGTGGGCCAGCTGAGCCACTCAAGGGTGACAGGTGGTTGTTACCATTATTGTCACCTTCTGGGGACTCTGTCCAGCACTGGCAGCCAGTGGGCTCCTCTGGCAGGACTGATAGTTACAGCCCACACCACCAGATTCTTGGGAGCATAGGCACAGAGATGGGGGTGGGGGTGCATGATTGTACCTCCTTGCTGAGGTTCTGGAGTCCCTGGCTCATTTTGTGAACCAGCAGGAGCTGGAGGCCTGAGAGCTGCTGCATAGCCACTGTCTCTAGAAAAGTGAAAAGGGACTGGGTGGCAAGTTCCTGTGCTTCACCTGGTCCTCACCTGTGGAAGCAGCCCAGGTGCTCAAAGCTTCAAGTGGGGGTGAGTGGTATGGCCCAGGGTTGTGCTGCCTTTTTTCTTCTATAATAGTTTTATCCTTTCCATTGAAGCATAGGACCGGGGGAGGAATATTAACTTACTTATTACTAGTCTGGGTTGATGACATTTGTTTCCTCTTCTGTAACCCCAGTTCCATCTTTGGAGATTTATCTGTTTAAAGTTTAAAACCAATAAACAGCACTTTTGTTACTAGAACCGTGTAAGGGTTATTAACAAACATCATAGCACCAGCATCTACAAGGGTCCCCTGTCGAGAACACCAAGCCTCTCAGTGGCGATGTCCTGTCCTAGTGTCAGGTCCATGTGTGTTCTGGTTTGTCCTCCACTAGTTTTCTTCACCTCTTCCTCAGGTTTCTCCAAGCTCTGCCTCCCGCCATCTGTTCGCTTCCCCTACCCCACAGCGCCACACTCTTCTACTTAGGGTGGCCTGAGACTTCACCACAGCTGTTGTCTTGGACTCATCTTCTTCACACTTGTTCACACTCTCTTGGACTAGAGCCCCTTTTTCCTGCATTTCCATGACATCTTGCTTTACTCTGCCACACTGTTGAATCACATGGTAAAGTAACTTTCGTAAAAAGTGTATGTTAAAGATAAACTTCCTAGACCTTGCATTTCTGAAAATTACTCTACCCTCCTACCAGGTGAAAGATTGATTGGGCTCAGAACTTGTTTTCCATCAAAACTTCAAAGGCCAGGTCTTCCAGCACCTGTCATTGCAGATGTGAAAGTCAGCGGCCAGTCTAGATGCTTGTTGATTCTGAAGCAATTCATTTTTTTTCTTTCTGGAGGCTTTAAAGATCTTCTCTTAGTCTTTATTATTCTGAATTTTCATGGTGTGACTAGATACAGATGTTTTCATTCCTTGGTCGGACTTTTTTTTTTTTTTTTTTTTTTTTAAAGAAATGTTTGCTATAGGGCACATCTGCTTACTGGAGAGACGGAAGAGACAGACGGACAGAAAGCGAGAAATCACCTCCCAGAAGTTATGTCCACACCGAAATCCTTTCTCCATTCTCCTCTCAGGATTTTGGGCGCAAATGCACACATGCTCAGCATGAATTTTAAATCATCAGGTCCGGGACTTCAACTGTGGTCAACTATGTGGGAGTACAGCAACGTAACCATTATATCCTCTGCTAGTCCCCTTTGGTTGGACATTTTGATGACTTGCAGCCTTCAGCTGAACAAAGATACCTATCTTGAAATTATTTGAAAATTTTCATGTTTTTTCTTCCTGAAAACATACTAATTAGCAATTAGTTTATTTAAATGTCCCTTTATGTCTCTTATATTTTCTTGATTTTTTTGGTTACTTTTGATTTTTTCTTTTTTTAAAAAGAATTATTTATATATTGAATATCATTTGTTGTTATTATTTCTTTAAATTTGACCAGAGATAGAAAGAGAAAGGGAAAGTGAGAAAGCAAGCTGTCAAATCCGGGACTCAAACCTCAGTCAGCCATGTTGGGAATCCAGTGCCCCTAACTACCACACCACCTGCCGGCCCCACTTTTGAATTTTTTTTTTTAACTTTGTCATTTCTAAGAGCTCTTTCTTCTCTGAATATTCTTTTTCTTGTGTGTAATTCTTTTTGTCTTTTAGTGTAGTAGCTTATTGAATTATTTGCTGATATCTAATAGCAAGTTTTGTTTTGTTTTGAAGTTCTTCTATTTCTTCTGGGCTCATTTTATCTTTCTTCTTGCTTGTTTTGATCTTTCTCTTTTATGTGGTAGGCTTTTCTGAAATTACTGGTGAGTCTTGATTGTCCACTCACATTTCAGAGTGAGGCAATTGAAATGCTAGTGAGAACTCATTTTGCAAAATTGAAGCTTGTTTACCTCAGGATGAGCTGGGTAGGAAGTGACCTTATAAGGGGGTGCCTTAAAGCGGCTTTGCTCTCCTTGGGCACTAACACTCACATACATTCCAGTTAGCTTGGTTCTCAGCAGAAAAGCCATAATGTGTTACTCTGCTGTTTTTAAAAAATTTGGCCTGATATGGTTCCTGGCTATGATTCCTGATGTGATTCTAGTTTTGTACTGGGATGGCATGGGGAAGGAAGGGGTCAACTGGTCCATTCATAAGACTTGGATTTGTCCTCTTTTTTTTTTTAAATCTATTTAGTTTGATTTATTATTATTATTTTAATTTGCTCTAGGGTACATGCACTCAACCAAGAAAGACAGAGAGAAAGTGAGAAAGCAAGCTGCCAGTTCTGGTACTTGAACCGCGGTCGGCCTTGTGGGAGTCCAGAGCCTCAACCACCATGCCACCTGCTGGCCCGTTTGTCCCCTTGCTTTGATCCCTGGGTGCTATCTCCACTGCCACAATACATGCCATCTCTGGGTCTAGAGCCTCTCTGGGACCTCTTGGGACAGATCAGCTCACTCCTCAGCTGCTGCCCTTCCCCAAGACTCCAGGGCCGCATGCTCGTTATGTCCATTCACTCTCCATTTTCTATAAATTGGTTGATAATTCTTTTTTTAGAATTTCTTTCTTTCTTTCCTCCCACCTTCTCTCCCTCCCTCCCTTCCTCCTTCCCTCTCTCCCTACCTCCTTCCTCCCCTTCCCCTCCCCTCCCCTGTCTTCCCTTCCTTATGGGAAGGTACCCTTGACCAGGTCTTACCATGCTGTGTTCCTCTCAGCCAGCCAGGTCACAGGTGCCCCAGAGCATGCGCTGCATGTCTAGGTTGAGCTGGGATCCAAACCTCAGGCCCTCTCACATGACTCCAGTATCACTCAGTGGTGATCGACTACCTATGCTACCACCATAGCTGGCCTCATTGATATTTTTCTACCAGCAGCGCCTCCCCTCCTCATGTTTCCTCTTTGCTATTGATTTACTGATCTGTATTTTATTCTTTTACTCTTTATTTTAATGGAATCTCAGAAAGTAGAGGAAAGGAACACTTGTGTTTAATACTTAGATAGGAAGTCAGTTTGGTGTAAACCCTAGAAGCCAAAATGCTGGTTGGTTGATTTATTTTTCTTTAAGGATTATCTGTTATAAAATTTTACTTTTGGGGACCAGCAGTTGGTGTAATGGCTATGTCGCTGGACTCCCATGTAGTTGACTGCGGTTCGAGTCCCGGACCCGGTGGCTTAAACTCAGGCCGGGCACGTGTGCATGCATGCCCAGGATCCTGCGAGGACAGTGGAGGAGAAGGGATTGCAGCGTAGCCATCCCTACTGGGGGTGATTGATTCCTCGCTTTCTGTCTCTCTGTCTCTTTCTTTCTTTCTGGCTAGCACATGCGCTTTATAGCAAAAACCTCTCAAAAAATTTTTTTTACTTTTGTCAAATGTGCCGTATCA